GAGGCTGCGCCTGAAACTGGCATGGCTTCCCTAGACGGTGGCTGGGTCGTTGATCTGCTCCCTTTCTCTGTTCCGAGTCCCGTTCCACGTGAGCTCATATCGACACACACATGGAATCTAGGTGTCAAATATTGGAGGGGTATGTTTTCTTCCGCGGGAAACGGAACTGCGGGTGTTAAACGCCCGAGACGGACAGCCTCCTCTGCTTCGCTTCCTAGTTTAGGGAAAAATGACGGAGGCAGCAATCACTTGCCAAGTGCCTATGGGGAAGAAGACGAGAACGTACAGCCTTTCCTGGATTTCTCCCACCTGGTGCTGCGGAAACACCACGAAAGCAAGCCTCTGTGGGTATGTCCTAACTTGCGCATCTATCTGGAAGCCTTCAGTCCTTTGTACAAACACGCCTACGATTTTTTGATCGCCATCTGCGAACCCGTGGCCCGTCCAACCTACGTCCATGAATACAAGCTGACTTCGTACTCCCTGTACGCGGCCGTGGCCGTCAATATTCATACCGAACATATCTTGTCGACCTTAGCACGCTTTTCCAAGAACGAGCTGCCTTCGGAAGTGGTTTCCTTCGTGCGACGCTCCACAGAGACGTACGGGAAGGCAAAGCTGTTGCTGCGGGACAACGAATATTTCATAGAAGCGGAGAGCAAAGAAGTGGCGCGGAAGCTTTTGAGAAACGAAGTCATCAAATCCGCCCGAGTCCCTCTGAACAGCGGGGGAGGTGTGGGGGGAGGGGGAGGAGGAGGAGGAGGAGACGGAGACGGCGATTTCTTGGAAGGGGAAGCTGCTCGAGAGATGAGTGAGAACGTGGAGTTTCTGCTGGTGGGCAGGGACGAGGAGGACGGAGACGATTTGGGACCGGAGGCCATACACGGGTTGGCGGCGAGCAAGACGGCTATCTTCCAAATCGCCAAGGAAAAAGTCCGGCGGGTGAAGGAAGCGGCTTTGACGATGGATCCCCCGTACCCCTTGATGGAAGAATACGATTTTCGCAAGGACGCCGAGAACAAGGCATTGCCCATCATGTTGAAGAGCGCCACTAAGGTTCGCACCTACCAACAGAAGAGCCTGCGGATGATGTTTGGGAACGGCCGGGCCCGGTCGGGGATTATCGTCCTCCCGTGCGGGGCGGGCAAGACCCTGACAGGGGTGACGGCGGCGAGCACGATTCAGAAGGGGGTGATCATCCTCTGCAACACGAACGTCTCGGCCGTCCAATGGAAGGCGCAATTTCGCCAGTTCGCCGCGATCGAGGAGAAGTACTTGGTCAAGTTCACGAGTCGGGAGAAGACGCTGTTACCTCCAGAGGAGGCAGTGGTCTTGATCACCACCTACTCCATGTTGGCGTACGCGGGGAAGCGGAACGAGGAGGTGGCGATGATTTTGAACCAGATCAAGGGGAGGGAGTGGGGCTTGATGATTCTGGACGAGGTGCATGGTAAGGCGGGAGGAATGGGAAGGGAGGGAGGGAGGATGGGAGGGAGGGAAGGAGATGGGATAGGCACACCACCCATTTCAAGAGATGGGGACGGGATTGGTGCCTGTCTCCGATATCGAGGCAACCTACCCGCCAACCTGGCGTGCCCACTTCACTATCCTCTTGACGCCCTGCACCGTCCGGCGCACGGCCCCTCACCCCTCCCTGCCCCCCTCCTTCCTCTCCCAGTCGCCCCCGCCTCCTCTTTCCAGCGGGTTCTGGACGTGGTTTCTGCCCACGCCAAACTCGGGCTGACCGCCACCCTTGTCCGGGAAGACAACTTGATCGATAGTCTCAACAGCATGATCGGTCCCAAGCTCTACGAGGCGAACTGGATGGATTTGACCGAGGACGGCTATCTAGCAAACGTCCAGTGCGTGGAGGCCTGGTGCCCCATGACCCGCGAATTCTTCGAGGTGATCCTGTGCCTGTCTGTCCCCGCCCTCCCTCCCTCCCTCCTTCCCTCCCGCCCTCCCTCTCGCCCTCCCTCGCGTGATCCCCTCCCGCTCTCGCACTTTTTTCAGAGATGAGGGGTCCGCGCGACTCATTCTCCTCGATTTATTCCCCCTCCCTTCCTCCCACACTTTCGGCCATGTCGTTAGGAGTACCTCTCAGTGCCCGATAAGTATGAAGGCCGCGACCAGAAAAAAGTGCGCGAAGTGCTTTATCTCATGAATCCGAATAAAATCCGGGTCTGCGAGTATTTGATGCGCTACCATGAAGAGCGCGGTACGTCTCGTCAATCTCATCTTCTTGGGCCCCTGCATCCGTCCTTGGCTCCCTCATTTCCCTTCCTGCCTGACCCGTCATCCGCCCTCCCCCTCCCTCCCCTCCCTCCCCCCCTCCCTCCCTCCTTCCCTCCCTCCGCCTCCTGGGGCAGGCGATAAGATCATCGTCTTCTCGGACAGCGTCTATGCCCTTTCCAAATATGCGCAACTCTTCGGGCGGGACGCGATTTATGGAGGGACCAAGGAAAGCGACCGGGAGAGACTGCTGGCCGCGTTTCGGATCAGCAGTCGGGTCAACACCATCTTCCTCTCGCGCGTGGGCGACACCTCCATCGACCTGCCCGAAGCGAACGTCATCATTCAAATTTCTTCCCAGTTCGGGTCCCGACGACAGGAGGCCCAACGGCTCGGGAGAATTCTCCGGCCGAAACAAACGGCCGACGAAGGCTTCAACGCCTTCTTTTACACCTTGGGTAAGTGGAAGGAGGACGGGGGAGGGAGGGAAGGAGATCTTGGGCATTGGTTTTACAGTACCACGTCCTTTTGAATGCTCCTGCTCTCCTCCCTATGTGTTACCGTTGCGGCGACTTTGTTTGCTTCATCCGCTGCTGGGAATGACTTTTCAGACATATTGGGGTCACGTGGTGCTGTGTGTTTGATCTTGTAGCCATCCCGTGTCCTACAAGCTAGCTTGCTTTTTCTTCCCTTCTCAGAACCCCCGGCATTCCCTCCCTCCCTCCCTCCCTCCCTTCCAGTGTGCACCGACACGGTGGAGATGCGCTACTCGACGAAACGCCAGCAATACCTGGTTGATCAGGGCTATACCTACAAGGTGATCCCAAACCTGCTGGACGACGCCCAGAAAAAATGCGCGACAGACCCCAAGTACCTGATGAGCAACCTGAGCGCCGAGCAGGAGCTACGGCTCTTGACCCAGGCCTTGATGGACGCCAACACCTACGAGGAGATGGAGGCGGCGGAAGGCCGGGTCTTGCAACGAGCCATCCAGGAAGGGGAGGAGGAGGACGGAGGGAGCGACCGGGGGATGGTGTACGGAGGGGCGGGCGTGGCGGCGGCGGGCGTGAGGAGGACCACGGGCTCGATGGCCGCGCTCTCGGGGGGGCAAGGCATGGCCTACGTCGAGTCTTCCACGGGGGGGAAAAAGAGGAGGTAGTGAGGAGGGAGGGGGAGGGAGTCGGGAGGGAGAAAGATGGTTGATGGGTAGGAGGATGGAGGAATGAGGTGAGGTGGAGGGGAGGAAGGGGGGGTGAAGGCGGTGAGCAGGCCCACTACGGACGGCAGAAGCCTTGAAAAAGCCAAAGCAATCAGCTTTGCGTGTCGCTGCGAGAAAAACTGTCCGTAAATTTTTGCTTTGGGATCGGAGTCTGCAGCCGTTCTCTTCCTCAGGTGGCGCCCTCCCCTTCCTCTTCCTCCTCCACTCCCTCCCCTCTCCCGTCCCCTTCCTCCTCCTCCTCCTCCTCCTCCTCCTCCCTCTTCCCCCAGCTTCCTCCCCCCTCCTTCCCCTTGGCCCGCTCCGTTCCCGCCCAGGCCCGCGTCCATCCGCAACATCTGTCGCACCAGCCCCTCATTCATCCCCTCCGTAGTCTTCAACCTCCCCCCCTTCTCCCACCCCATCACCTCTTTCAGCCCCCGCAACGCCTTCTTGTACCCCGGAAGAAACGGCTCCAAGGGCCCCAACTTCCCCGCCGTGACCCTCCCCACCTCTCGCCATTTGCCCCCGTCCCCGACCGCTCTCCGAAGCCGTTCGAACTCTTTCTCTTGGCCCCGCTTCAAAAAAGTGAAGCTCCGGCCCTCCCTCCCCGCCCGAGACGTGCGCCCGACGCGGTGGATGTAGGTGCTGACTTGACGGGGAGTGTCGTAGTTGATGACCGCGCTCACGTTGGGGAGGTCGATGCCCCTGGCCATCCCGTCCGAGGCCACCAGGACCCGCACCCCGCCCTCCTTCCCGCCCTCCTTCCCGCCCTCCTTCCCGCCCTCCCCCGGTGCGGCTCCCAGGCATCGCTGCAATAAGGCGGTCCGTTGCGGTTGAGACAGGGAGGAGGAAAATTCTCCGACGATGCTGCTACCTGTCGAAGGGCGGGAAGGAGGGAGGGAGGGAGGGAGGGAGGGAGGGAGGGCGAAGGAGTTCTCGGGAACCTGGAGGGTGGCGGTGCAGAGTTGAAGCAGTCGGCTCAGGCGATGGGTCGAGTCGAGGGAGGAGGTAAAGACGAGGACCAAGGGCGGGCCTGAGGCAGGGGGAATAGGCGGGGAGGAGGCGAAGGCCCTGAGCTCCCGGAGAAGGAGGGCGAGGAGGAGGAGGGGTTTGTTCTGGCTGGTGCAGGGCACCACGTCCTCCCGCAAGGTGGAGGGCAGGCCGCTGCCTACGGGGGGCTCGTCCTCGTCCCCCCCCAGGGCGTGGGAGGGAGGCGGGTCGAGGATATGCCCGTGAACGGAGAAGTACCGAGGAAAGCTAAGGTGGAGACGGGCGAGTTTCTGAGGGTTGGTCGTGACGGTGGCCGAGAAGAGGAGTTTGGACAAGGGGAGGGGCGGGCGGAGGGAGGAGGACGGAAGGGAGGAAGCGGGGAAAGGAAGACGTTGGGTGGTGGGACGCAGGGTGTAGGACGAGCCAACCACGTCCTCCAGGGCCGCTGCGGCGCCCCCAGGCGGAGGAGGAGGGTGGGGGGGAGGGCGGGGCGGAGGGAGGGAGGGAGAAGGTCCCCGGGCGGGGCGAGTAGATGGCGTGGTGGATCCGGCTTGACCACCCCTGGTAAGACTGGTTGAGGAGGCGGTCCGCCTCGTCCAGCACCAGGCACCGCAAGTGCGTGAGCGTGAAGCCTGGGGTCCTCTCCAAATGATCGATCAACCTCCCCGGGGTAGCCACCAACACGTCCACGCCCCTCCCGCCCTCCTTCCCCCCGCCTTCCCACCCCATCACCCTTTGTTGCTCCGCCTGGAAATCCGACTGGCCCACCGCCAAGCCCACCTTAACTCCTACCGTGGGGCCAAAGTCTGGAATTCCCGCCAAACCTGCGTGGCGAGGTCCCGGCTAGGAACCAGGACAAGCCCCCTCAACCTCCCCACCCGGCGGTTGGCGAGCTGGTGGAGAAGAACAAGGACGTAGATCAAGGTCTTCCCACTCCCCGTGGGGGCGCAGACTACTGCGTCCCGGCAAGGGAGGAGTCGGGCGGGCGGCAGGAGGGGCGGGAGGAGGTGCGGGAGGACCTGTGCTTGGACGGGGAGGAGGGTAGACATGCCTCGGGACGCCAGAATTGGGAGGAGGCGGGTGTCGAGACCCCAACGCTTCCACGCGTCGGCCATGGGGAGGGAGGAGGGGAGGGAGGGGCGGAGGGAGGTGGGGGACGTGGCAGGCTGGGTGGTAGGGCCGTGGGGGCCTCGTGCCTGGGGACGGTGGGCCGACCCGTCAATGTCTTGGGCGGACGTTTTGGAGGGAGGCAAAGAGGACTTTCCGGGGGCGGTATGCGAGGCCAGGGTAGACTGCTCTTCCATCTTGGCTCCCTCCGACCGTCCTATCTCCGTCCCTCCCGAGGCCACTGGTGGGAAGGGAAGCGGTCGGCTCCGGGTCGCCTTGTGCATGTGCCCACTCAAGAGGCGACGCACGCTGTCGAGCCCTGGGGTGGCACGGCTGGGAGGGTCGAGGGAGGGAGGGGAGCTGGCAGGGAGGGAAGAAGGGGTCCCAGACGTGGGAAAAGGCAGGAATGCGGGCGATGCCGAGGGGAGAGGGGGAGGGTCCGCCGGGTGCCTCGCTTTTGCCTGCGTACCCTGCGTCGTTCTCTCACATCTCTGTCGTGCGAAATAAGATGAGGAAACGAGCTTGAGAATCTGCATTGGACACGCATGCGTGCGGTATGATTATGCTCAAGGGATGCAGAGCTCGCAAGGGTCAGATGGAAGTCGCTCCCTCGTCGACAGACCCTGCACCCACGTCCAGAGCCATCCCGCTCTATGCAGCCCTGTTCACAGCGTTGTCGTCCTTGACTCACCTCGGTTCCACGATCTTCTTTCTTTGTTTTCCGTTCTAGGCCCGAACTTTCCATTGAGGGAGCGCGAACATCTGTCGGCTGTCCTACCCCCTCCTCTGCTACTCGAGGTCGTTTTTGGCTTTTTTTCTCCTTCTTAAGGCCATGTCGTGACCGCACTCGCGCCAGATACTGGGCAAGCTTGTCGTTCTTCTCGGCTTGGCCGTCTTGTCGATTTTCGAGCGCCTCTGTGGCTTCGTACCGCTCAATAGCAAACATATCTAGTGAAGAGTTGCGTACAAGTTGTACCCCTTTTTAAAGCAAGTTAGTACCAACATCGCTCGTCCAGAATCCTGTCGACATAAACCAAAACAGGATTAAAAGCATGCGGGAGGAGAGAATGAGTCATACGAGGGGCTAAAGGCAAAATCTAAGGCAGGGTACCGCCACAAAGGTTTGGAAATGGGAGGAGGTTAGCAGGAGGAGTCCTTCTTGTTGATATGGCCAATGCCTGTTTCTCCCAAAACCTTGGCCATCGGTGGTCTGTTGTAATTATTCCTGCGCCAAAGTCATTCTCCACATCGCACTTACTTGCCTCGAAGCACCACGCACTGGCCTACGCTTCAATTGAACTCTCTTCAGACAGTCCCCAGGTCAAGGGAGAGGAGCCCTGCCGCCCATCATCCCCCGGGCCTCACGCTCAAAAAATGACTGGTGCAATTATTCCCGAAAGTGTCTCTTTCTCGTATGTGTCCAACCGCTGCACAATCATACGCTTGTGGGAGTCGTTTGGTGCGTGCAAGCACACGTGGGAGGGCAGTGGTAACATGTGCCCGTGGAAACCAGGTGCCGCTGCTACCCGTCGCTTAAATGAGAAGAATTCTTGAGAAGCGCGGTCCGCCCTCCCTTCAAACTTTAACCCAAACCGAACAACCCCGTGTGGGAACCTCGTAATTGGTGTTGGATAGCATACGTGACACTGGGCATATCGTGCGGGAGGAAGGGCCTGGATGGACCTGGATCCTGTCGGATTTTTTGGGTTCACCTGCCCGCTAGTTCGCCAGAATCGGTATCAGACTGTAACCCCCTTGCTACCTTCCCCAATACACAGGTTTGCTATCGGTAGGAGCACAGCACCGGCAGGATAGGACCCAGCTCTTGCGGAGGGAGCCATGGCAAGTGAGGCAGGTGCATGCCAAACCCGAAATGTGGGAAACTACGACGACGATGAAGAGGAGGAGAAGGAGATCCCGCCCCTGGACGAGGGGGACATCGCCTTGCTGAAGACATACGGATTGGGACCGTACACGACCAGCATCAAGAAACGCGAGGAGGATATCAAGAATTTACAGGTCCGTGTGAAGGAGGTTCGGGACGGATTTGTAGTGGCTTCTTGAAGGGAGGCGGAGGTGGACACGGACCGTACGCCTCGGTCCTTGCGGCTCAGCCGTCTCTCCCGATGCTGACTTCCTCCGCACGTACTTGCACCATCTCACGTCGGCAATTTACCACAGGAGAAAGTGAAAGAGCTGATAGGGATCAAGGAAAGTGACAGCGGCCTCTCCCTCCCATCCCAATGGGACCTGGTCTCTGACAAGCAGATGATGCAGGAGGAGCAACCATTGCAGGTAGGGAAACGGGGGGCGGCATGGGGGAGGACAGGGAAGGGTAAACAGAAAGGAAAGAGCATGCAGAGCTAGGGGACGGAAGGGACGGAAGGGAAGGGGACGCAATGAGCTGATGTTCCCTCCCTCCCTCCCTTCCCCCTTCAGGTGGCCCGATGCACCAAGATTATCAATCCGGGGCAGGACGACGCCAAATACGTGATCAATGTGAAGCAAATCGCCAAGTTTGTGGTGGGCTTGGGCGACAAGGTCTCTCCCACGGACATTGAGGAGGGCATGCGCGTTGGCGTGGACCGCACCAAGTACTCCATTCAGGTCGCCTCCCCCTCCTTCCCGTCCTCCCTCCCGCCCTCCTTCCTTTCCTTCTCCTGCTTTCCTGCCCGGTAGTCTTGGGGCTCTTGGATGCTTATCCTCCTTTTTCCCTTCGTCTATCCCTCCCTCCCTCCCTCGCCCAGATCCCCCTTCCCCCCCAAGATCGACCCGACCGTCTCCCTTATGACTGTGGAGGACAAGCCGGACGTCACCTACGACGAGGTGGGCGGGGCGAAGGACGCGTTGGAGAAACTGAGGGAGGTGGTGGAGCTGCCCCTCCTCCACCCGGAGCGCTTTGTGAATCTGGGCATCGACCCGCCCAAGGGGGTTTTGT